ACTGCCATTGCCGCTTACTGACTGCCAACCAACCAAATAAGCAAACAAGCCAAGTAAACCAAAGGGAACGACCGTCAAACAAGGAATGAAGCGTATACAAATAAATGAGTATGTGTGTATTAACTATCCTCTGATAGAGCGGACAGACAGACAGTTGGAACCATTGTTACTTACCACAATGATTATTATGGTGAATGAAACAGTAACAATAACAACTAACGAAAAAAGCACAACACTAAGTCAATAAAAATACAAGCACAGTAGTGCGTGAAAAAATGTTAGAAGAATAAACTAAAAATAATAAAATAAATAAAAACTAACTGACTAGAAGCTCTTCGGGCTACAGACAAATAAATGCTCGCTACACACACGAAAAATGGGACAGGCTGGCAAAACACGTAGAGAAAATATGATTAAAAACACATTCAAAGATGAAAACAATTATATCGAAAAATCATTTTTTGCCCTAAAAAGTATATCTATCAAACAGTATTTTTTTATAATAGCACAGACTGATATTATAAGACCTAATAAAATCTATAGGCGTCTCGATTAGGCTGAAAAAGTTTGGAATAGTTGAAAATCTCGAATCGAAAATTTTGCTGAACTTATTTTATGATTTTGGCGATTTTTTTATGTAATCGTGCTATAATTGGATGCTTCTTTTCCCACATATTGCCACCGTTGTTTTCAGATTTAATTTTTTAGATCATAAAAAATTAAATAGGTTATAAAAATGCAATCTCCAAAAAAATCCAAAATAACGATTATTTGCAATCGAAAAAATAACTCCTCAACTTTGAACGAAAAATTTCCTCAACTTTTCTGGATAAAGCCTATAACCTGTCAAAAAGCAAAATTGTTCTCAGAGAAAGAGAGAAAAGCCAAAAAGTACAGGAATGCTTTTCGGGTAACAACTGGTAAAACTGTCAAATACACCGTGGTCGCCATTTTTTTGTTTACATAGTTAGCAGTTTTTTTAGCATTTAGCGATCTGCTAAATTATACGCAAATTAACCAAAATATTTACAAAACTTGATATTTCTTCACTACGATATATTTAATATGGTAAAAATCCAGATGTACGTTTGTTTTTGCTTTTCCAAATTTCAAATCGTTTGAACAGATGATGGTTTGACACTTTGCCAGATTTTACCAGCAAAAATTCTTCGCTTAAAATTTTGCAACTTCTGACAAAGAGCGGAACGATTTTGCCCTCCCATTTTTCACCTACTTTGCCAGAGAACCGAGTACGGGAACGCTTTCTGGTAAATTCCTGTAAATTCTGCTAGTTAGGGAACGCGACTATTCTTAATAAAAAAAAATAAAAAAATATCTTGAACGGTTATCTTCGGGCCCTGATTTTTTGAGAAAGTTTAAGTTTTATATTTATGTAAGTACATTAGACCGCCACCTTGCAAAAAAAATAAGAAAAAGTTCGTCATACACCCCTGGGTCAAGAGATTTATTCAAGGTAATTTCGAACAAATATATTTTTTTGCCGAATATAGAGGTTGGCTTAATATATTTTTTGGTGACACCTACATTCGGCAATACTTTTTTTAAATAGTTCTACTGGAATAATCGAAATACTTCCTTAGCAAAAGTTTAATGACTTATGGTGAGCTTTAATTTACTAACATTAGGGTGATACGTCAGAATTATAAGAACGGATATCTGATGGGTAAGTACTCTAAGAACGGGGTACTTGAGATCAATGAACTTGGAAAGAAGAAAAAATAGTCTCCTCGACACAAAAACATCGATATAGCATACTTTAAGATCCGACTGTAAATACCGCTACATACGTCCGCTAAAAAAAAATAGCTTTGCAAAAATCCTTTATACTAAGGGGCGTACGGCAAACTTCTGGCACGGTTTAATGTATGTACATTAGGGGGGCCCAAAAATTAATATGAAAAAGTAAAGTGGGAATTTTTATGCTCTCACCCCCTAGAATTGAGGTCGCTCAAAGCGCTCACAGCTTTGTATGTATTTTATATGAAAAACCCCACTTTTCGTAGAAATCGTATACAATTCTAGAAAATCAATATTTTTCGACCGGAAAACTGTGCTTCTCTTCAGGAAATTCCCCATAATAATACCCAATTTTTTTGTTTTAACCATTTTTTCATAGTAACTATATTTTATAGGTCCACCAAAACCCCTAGAAAATGCCAGAAAATGCAATGGGGGATAAATAAAAAATCTTTAGTATTAAAAATGGTTAAATAAACAATTGGGTATTGTTATTGGAAGTCTCTTGAAGAGAACGAGAGCTTTCTGATCGAAAAATATTGATTTTCGAGAATTTCATACCATGAGCGCTTTGAGCACCTCTAAATATTTTTTGATTTCAAAATAAAAAAATAGGGGTATATTTTCTTACTATATAACTTTACTTATTTCTGACCACCCTAATGTGCCCAAATACCTGAATATACCTCATACCTGAATATGCCTCCTATGCT